ACAACATTCAGTTTCATGACCTCCGTTAAAATTGGGGGTTGTTTAGGGTGTCTTATGTGGATCGCATTTTAATAACCACTCATTTTAAAGTGATGAACCCAGAAACGCTCCTGAAACTATTACCGACACTATACAAATTGACAATATGAAGTGTTTCTTCAGCAATAATAATCCAATGAATTAATATGACAACAAAATCTTCATTTGTTTTAAGAAGTTATTTTAGTTGCATAAAATTAGACGTACTTCAACAGTTTTTGTCATTTAAAACTGGACATAGGAAATCTCTATGTCTACTTCTAAATGAATATCACGGTATAATCTGCAAAGTTTAGCACCGATAGTTTATTAAGATTCTCTCCACTTTCGTTGTCCGGCCAAGAATTCCAGATTCGTGATTTTCATGTTAAAAAAACCCCAGATACCAAATCACATCGAAATGAGATTTTTTCGCCCTTTCGTGGTAGGAATTTTGAAAAAAAAATTTTCAAAATCGGATAAAGTATACTGGACTAGAGTGGTCAATAACGCTTTGCGCCCAAGAGTTTACTCGATGAACTACAAACGGAGCAGGTTAATTCTAATCCCAGCAGTAATGGGGACACCGACCCATCTGCATTACTGAATTTGCCGGTAAACACATACAAAAGATTCTAAACGAGGGGCTGGACTCAACTCTCCGCGGCCGAATTTGCTTTCAGGAAGAGAAAAGAAAATCCACCGTCGACGCTCTGAGAGAAATAGTAGAACAGTGTGGAGGATCAGAGAGGTAGGCGTCATTGGACGTCAAGAATGCCTTCAGCTCTGCATTCAGGAAGACTCGTGTGTAATGCGGGAGCGGAACCCCTACTCCGGAGCATTATGTATGACGGAACGCGGGTGAGGGGTGAATAGTGATGGTGGGACTTGACTGTGAGTCTTTCTAAACTGCTTCCACAAGATCGTGGTTGAGATGGAGAACCAGCAGGACAGGCATGTGAAAGTCTTGTTAGTGGTGTAGTGGGCGAAGTGCTTGCATTTTGACGCAAATCTTAGCAAGTGCTTTTGGGCAGAATCTGTCAGCACTGCCGTTTACCTAAAAAATAAATCTCCAGCGACTGCACCAACTGCACCATATGGTATGAAAAACAACCTGCTCAGATGTTCCCAAACAAAAAGACTAAAATAGCACGGAAGCCGATTCTGGCTACGTGAAATCGACATACGAGCCCTGTGTATTCGTGAATTAAAGGCTAGAAAAAGCTGACGGCAATCGCCTTATTCGGTAACGAGTGGTCGGGCAGGTTCAAGGCAAATCGACAATCGCAATTCAGCATTGCAGATTTGGACGAAATCAGCAACAGCCTCGGATTGAGACTCAGGACGAACCCGTGAGTATGAGGGACGAGTAATTTTGGAGGAAGGGACGTATGGTAACGACAGGTACCAAGGATCAGTACTTGCTATTGGAGAAACGCGAGAACACGCCTCACCGCCTATACTGATGCAGATTGGGCGAGTGGTACTATCGATAGGAAATCATACACAGGATTCTGTTTCCGGCTTGGAAATTCGACGATTGGGAGAGCTCGAAGCAGGAGTGTGTGACGCTGTCCAGTAGCAAGGCGAAATACGTAGCCATCATCGAGGCCTGCAAAGAACCGCTTTATCTGCGAAGGATCACTGAAGAACTCATCGGAGATACAGGTGCACAG